AACAGTCTGTTAGGGCTATACGGGGTTATGTGTCTTTGGTTTTGTTACTCTACTTTCTGCAGTCGATTTCGCATCACGACTCATAGACAATTATTAACATTTATGTTGAGTCATTTTGTTTTCATATAGTACATGTATTTATAATAATAAGAAGAATGAGGAATAGTACACGTTTATGCATTGCAATAGCCACTTTTATTTGTCAATAAATAAATAGTATTGAGAACATTGATGCAAGAGTGCATTCAACTTACAGAGGGGCTGCTTACACGCACGTAGGGTAATGTATATTCATATTGCACCCTGTGCACACTCAAGAGAATCATGCCGCCTGTACTTGTTCCACACGCGATGGCACATACTCGTTGTCGCTCATGGAACCTATCGACCACTTTACATCGTGCGGAGCGATGTTCGCGAAGGGGAGCGGAGAGACGGGGTTAACGTCTTGCCAGTTTAACACGTATGCGGGCTTTCGCGATCAATATTATTCACAATAAAGGTTTTCTTTCGGGGTTAGATCGCGTAAGCATTCATGTTGTGTCGTAACCCTGCAACCACCCGACGCGGCCAATTAGCAAAGGTATTTGTCACGTGAACAAAACGTGCCAAGGAATCACTGCTTCAGCCCGCCGGTGTGTTGGAGAGTAAATCCACAACGTTTATACTTACGCGATCTAACCCGAAGAACATTTACTCATGGGTAACGTCCTGTGCGATGTCATTGTCAGATGAAGTGTGACGTAGCGCAAACCGCAAAGACGATTCAAGCCGCACCCGTTCCAGCCGCAACGCGCACGCATTCATGCTCATCTCATAGCGTTGCCTGCTTGGCAGTCACGCGTTGTAGACTATACATCTAAATGCTGTGGGGGGGATTATTATACAATGTGCAGGCGTCAGCTGATACAATGATATAACTATTTAGGCGGGCGGTGGTGGAGGAGGATGATGATGATGCTGCGTTGGCAGTGATGCACACGGACAATGAACAACAACCATAACACATTAATCAACAACACTGTGTGGCCGAAGATAGAAACAATATAATTTAGGTGATGTATTGGACAATGGCCCTTCTTCCTGATATGCTGGTAAGATAACGAAAAAAGTTACGTTTTTTTAACTGGTATTTATTTTCAAGTTGATTTGTTTAGCGTGTTGTTGTGTAATTTGTTGTTGTAACGTTCTGACCCCGTGCCCTTAACTGGACACCTGTGAAAAAAGAGCTTTATAGCTCATCGGATTCCTCCAGTATAAATAAATATTAAGATTTTGAAACTTTTTTTGTTGAAAGATTCTATTCATAGCTTACGTGCACCAGCACCTAGCTGTTGTTTTTATTTAAACATTACATTCGCACTCTTTTTGACTCGCGTCTCTCGTGTTCAGTCGTGCGATATCCATTCAGGACCCCTGCTGTACTCCCTCTCTGCAACATTAACGATGTTGTTGTTGTTTTGGCTGTACTCGTGCAGTATCCACGTATCCCCCGCGTAAAATAGCCGAGAAAACGGCTAAACGGGATCATCGCCCATTAAAAAAAGACGACCATTGGAGGGACTATTGCCCGAACCGTCGGCTAATTACATTCATTTAATTTTGAAGGCCGCGGTGTTGTTGACGACCCTGTCGAGTTGCATCGACACGACGATAATTCTCGCGCCGTGACGACCCGCACTTTAATTGGCTGCGTCGTTGGGTGGTGGAGGGGTTCCCAACAACACACACACATTTGGTCAGATCCATTTACGTAGCCGATATCCATCCCCACCCCCCCCCCCCCCCCCCCCCACCAAAAAACATAAAAAAATTATACATTTGAAAACATTCAAGTACGTTGCTTTGAATCCGTGGGCCGTTCGTAAAAAAAGACAACTCTGTGAACACACACATCACAAAGACGACGTTTCCCCACCCACCCCATCACCACCACCCCGTGTGGCTTTTACAGGCCGTTTGGGGCAAGTGCTGTTACATAGTTGCTTGAGACCAGAGTTGCATAGCTTCATGGACAGTGGGGGGAACAGGAGAAGGATAAAAAATTTGATTCTGAATCGGCGCATGTAAGCTATTTTATTTTTCCCCCGGAACATCTCATAATGCGGCAAATTCGCTCGCGTGTCGATTCGGCGTGAAAAGCGGTGCTGCGTTTTATTTATTTGTATAATTTATCGCAACGGAGTTCAAGTTGCCCCGGGAGTTCTTTTTTGTTTTGTTTTCTTTTGAGAAACACATCCAGTCACGGCGACACAACTTTTTGGTCGAACGTCATCGGCTCTTTTTCCCGCTTGGGTTAAGTGTGCAGAGAGAACTACGGGGCTGGGGTGATCTTCTGTCGCGATACAATGAACACGCAGATACTGTAAGGGGATTTGTTCAGAAAAGCGAGAGGAAGCAACTTCGACGCTATCGCCCGGACGCATCTTCTCAGATTAATATTTCTCAATATTACCCAAGAGCGATCGTCTCCAGAATAAGGCAGCCTCAGACCGGTTTGAACTTAAAACTATTTAAACAATATTTTTTTTAAAAGTATTTTTTACCGGGCAAGGTCATACTGAGTTTTGTCGTTCTTTTTTCAGAAGCGACCTGGCCACAAATGATAGCCCAACGAAGTGGCCTTATCATCATCGTGTGGAAATTTATAGCCAACCGAATGCGCCAAAGGCACGTTTCTTAATGTGGATGGAAAAAACCGGAGGACCCGGGAAGAGAGAGACACGCAAACTCCAAATGTACAGCAGCAGCGGGCCTAAGGGTCGGGATCGAACCCACGTTAACTACCTCGTCTGTATATCAGACGAGGTAGTTAACGTCTCAACGCCGTGGCTTCTTTAGCGGGACCTGCCATTAATCTGGAGGCTTTCTGTAACAAACGCAGCGACAGCCGAAGCAATCCATTCACTCTGCTCCGTTGGTGTCACCAGAGTTCTGTTTTTGTTTAAATCGTCCGCGTTGTGAAACTCGCTTTCAGTTTTTTACAAATAAAACCCCCTTATCCGCGTTTCATCGGGTCGCGCGCCTTTCCGAACAATGCGTTAATATCGATATTATAGTATCGATACAATAAGAACATCGTTCTAATATAAACCATGCAACGTTGGACCAGCTGTTGTTGGATATTATTCTGTGTCCCATGTGTTGAAGCTGCAAAAACAACAGAAGACACCTCTTCACAATGTCTATGAATCTTGATTTGAAGCTTTCGTGACTGCAGAAATCCATACTCTTTGGTTATTTCGGTAAATCACGTAGGTATAATTATTTTATTTTAAACCTACGTGACTTTACCGACACCTACGTGACTTTACCGAAAGAACCAAAGAGTAATGTTTATGAAACAGCTACGGAATCAATGGTTGGCTCCCCACATACGATTTTTTTGTTTGTTAAATATAATGCTTTTTAAAATAATATGAAATACAACGTCGACGACTCGTTTGGGGGAGCGCACACATTGCGCGCGTGTCTACGATGAGCGCCGTTCGGCTACGCACGGCGGGTAAGGAGTTCGACATACATAACACACACACACACGTGCATACCAGTCGTCGAAACGAGACACACGTTCACGTCATAAATACAGACAATCAAAGCCGTTCGTTCACCATTGATTGGACACATAAACATCGAGCGGCGGGGACTTAATCCTTAATTATCATACGGCCGAGTTAAGAATGCAGATCTATAAATACCGTCACGTCGAACCGTAATTGCACATAACGTTGCCTTTGCCGTGAAATTCATGAACATGTCGGCTCGTGCTGAGAGATGCTGGGACGATGGGGGTGCGGGAGGCGGGAGGACATTGGGATGATTGGCACAAACAAAACTCTAAAAAAAATACAAACAAATTTGGCTTTAAACTAAACTAAACTTCTAAACATTTTTTTTTGCATTTTACCAAATAAGGCGCACGGAGCTACATGGCTCTTTTTCAGAAGCTACCTGGCTCTCGAAAACTGACAGCTCCAACAGGTGGACTTAAACGCGTGAAAATTTATCGCAGCCAAATTCTCCAAGCCTTGTTGACAGACGTCGCTCTTCAGAGCACTACCCCGCCGACACAAATACTCTCCCAGCATCGGCCCTTCTGCTCGACGCTGGGATAAGGGGGACGGGGGGGGGGGGGTTCTCAAGCGTGGCCCCAAGGATCTGGAATGCCTCGCCGGCGGTGATCCGGCACACGCAACGAGAGCCTCGGCCGTGTTTGGGAGGGATTGCATGACTCACTTGTTTCACGTGGCTTTTACTTAAACCATGATTTTCATTGTCCTTGCTTTTTATTTAATTGTGCAATGTTTTGATACCACCTCCCCCCCCCCCCCTGGAGTGGAGGTGATGTTACATTTAAAATAAATACGGTTTATGGTTTAAACGTGATGGGAAAAACCGGAGGACCCGGAGAAAAATCCACATGACCATGGGGAGAACACTCAAACTCCAAATATACAGGCGTCACGGTCGGCATTGAACCCGCGACCGCCCGTATAACAGGCGAGGTAGTTAACATCTCGCCACAAACTACATGGTCCCGATGCGACCAGAAACGTAACACGGACTCTAAAGGACTGACGACAGACATCGTTCGTTGGCTCGCAAGTGGTGGGTCGAACCGCACCATCCCATCGTGCATCGTGCTCACGAGAAGCGACTTGTAAGCAATAGATATGGGCGTATAAAGTGTTCCGCAAATACGTTCGCCCCCTTTCTGTTTAATTTCGGGGTTTTTTTTTCCAGAGCAGAAATGGGCAAATGTAAAAAGAGAAAAAAAGAATCACAACGATTTGGCCCAAGAGGTTAAAGACGTGCAATTACAAGGCAGACGGTCCACAGCCTCGCGAGAACTGCTTTCCGTATAAATGCACCAGTTTTGGTTTTCGTATAAAGTGCGTCAAACAAAAAAAAGCCGTCGAGAGGAAATGCCCGGTAAATAATCGCAGGAGGATGGGGGCATTTTAGGGAGAGTTTTTTGGTGGGGAGAGAGAGACGGGGGGGGGGGGGGAGGGGGGGTGGTGGTGGTGGAATCGCGATTCCCTCGGCTAAACGGAACAAACATCAATGCAACTGGCGACGCCGCTTGAATCTGAAGGGCCTAAACTCTCTCGCTGCTCTCTTCGCACGGAGCCACTTTCGAACCATTTGACGATGACTTGATGCACATTTGTTTTCGGGCTGCGCCACGTGGCGCTAATTTGTATGCCAAAATGTTTTGCCACTCACTGTCTGCCACCCGGAGGATGAAAGAGTAAATGATCATTATTATTTATACGTGCCAGCGTATCGATCAAATTCTGACCGATACAGCTCCTCCTCCTCCTCCTCACACCGGTGATGGCTTCAGCCTTGTCTCGAATGGGGTTTTCACGTGAACGTGTGGCGACATTTCGCTCAAACCTGAGCTGTCTGTGCATACCGATTGCTGGCTGCTACAGCTGAGAAGCGTCGCTAAACCCAGAGTCATCGGCAACACCCGAGGCTCAGAGAGGACGGGAAATAACTCTAAAGTTAGACGGTGGAATAATCTAAAAGTGGAGCGTGAATGTCAGATGTCCCTGTGTGACATTTTCGGAATCCGGCAGGGTGGCGCAGTGGCAACTGCTCGTGCCTCACAGCAGGAAGGGCCTGCGTTCAATTCCCACTGCGAACACCTTTCTGCGTGAAGTTTTGTATGTTCTCCACCTGTTGCGCAGTGGGTTACCTCCGGGATGTTGGTTTTCTCCCATGCATAAGTTGCGTTGGTTGCACCATGCTGATTTGGCCAAATGATCCCAATGCTGAAGACTTATTCTCACAAAGTGCCAAATTGGGATCACACAGTTAGCAGCGGCATCACTTTGTGACCGTTGGCAAGAACCTCTGGAAAAATTAGGATCTCGTGGAGATACAAGCGGAATCAAAGTCATTATAATAATAAATTATTAGCATTGCTTATCTTATCAGCTTAAAATTTCCAACATTCCACCGAACTCTTTATTTAGCGCTAGAAAACAACAAAAAAGCAATCGTTTAACCTCTAGTCTGAATGCTGGGAGGTGAACTATCGTACACCTGTGGCTGAAATTATAACAAAAAAATAAAAGAGTTAATGAGAGGGCCTTCGAGTGACGTCTATCGTTCTGACAAAAGTACAACACCAAGACCTCTCGAGAGACGGCGAATTATATTTTTTTTTTATAAGGAATGCGGAAGACAGAATCTCCACTGGAGGACGACAAGCTCGTACGAACGAGATCAAGTGGCAATGAAGAAGGAATATTTAATTTCGCATCGCAACTTTTGTTTGTTTCCGAGTTTGCACGCACACACGCAACACACATATACGCTGTTTATATAAATAATAAAACGCACTTCTCCGATTATTACGAGGATGCCCACGACACGGCTCTGATGAAGACGATTAAATAATGACGATGCCTGATTGACGACGACGACGACGACGATGATGATGACGACGACCACGAGGCTGTCGCTATCGCTGCTTGCCCGCGACGACGACAACGACTGGCGTGACAAGTTGACGCGGAAGAGGCGGGCGGGGCAGGCGGGGCAGGCGGGGCAGGCAGCGGGGCAAAGAGTGGCGCTTTCACGGAAGGGAGGGAGGGGGGTCCTCGCTCTTAGGCGCCGTTCTCTCCCCGAAAGTCCGGTGACTCCTCGGACCCGAACGCGTCCACCCAGGACGACGAGGAGGACGATGCGGCGAGGTCCCCCGACGGTGCCACCTCGTCCAGCCCGAGCGCCCCGCCCATCCAGTCGTGGAACGCCGCGCCCGCGGGAAGACCCCTCCGTGCCGTGTTCAGGTGGCCCATGACGCTCTTGAGCCACAGTTGGCGCTGGCGCGCGTACAGGTTGTGCGCCTTGTCGTTCATCAGCTGCTTCTCGGTCACGGAGCGACGTCTGCGGAGTAGATTGAGAGGGGAGGGGGGGGAATTAATGCTTGAAACAATTTATAAAAAGGGAGACGATGGGAAAAAAGTGGAGTGGGGGGGAGGGGGGGGGGGGGTTGGGGGAGTGATCTTGCGAATGTTAAATCCCTCGCCTGGTGTACAGGACGTCGTGGGCACGGGTGATAGCTCAGCAAAATGGCTCATAATGTGAAAATGTACAGCAGCCAAATGCTCTGAACGCACGTTGTTGATTCTGAATGTGGAGGGACGACCCGGAGGGCCAGGAGAAAAATCCACGCAACCACGGGGAAAGAGAGAGAGCGAGAGACACGCAAACTCCAAACATACAGCAGCAGGCGTCAGGGTCGGGATCGAACTCGCGATCTGCTGTATATTAGGCGAGGTAGTTAACATCTCAGTTTAACATGTAGGCTTTCGCGATCAATATTATCCATAATTTAATTGTTTTTGTTTGTTTGTTAGATCGCGTAAATATAAATGTATCGTTAAACCCGCCACCACCCGACACGGCCAATAAGCAAGGTTTGTCACGTGAACAAAACGTAGCCAATTCGTTACTAGTACAACACACCGGCGTGTTGGAGAGAAAACCCACGACGCTTACAATTCAGAGTCCCTCTCGCCACCGTGGTGCCCCAATAAATGAACAAACAGATACCTATTTCATTGCCAGAAAAAAAATTAGGCCTATTCTAATTTTTTTGCATTTCGATCCTGGCATTAAAAAAAAGGTCCCACAGACAATGTATCTTGATACTAACGAAAGGGGGGGGGGGTGGGAGGTGAAGGGTGGGGGGGAGGGGGTCCCAGGGCACTAACGCGTGGACCCATCTCGTTGCACCCGAGCCCACGTGGGTGCCCCTGCCCGCCTGCACCTCTGCACGCGTCGCACTCCGCTCGCTCGGTCGCCTCTGCCGCTCCTGCTGCTCCTGCTGCTGCTTCTCTCCTCCTCCTCCTCCTCCGCCCGCTCGCCAAGCCGCCACATCAGCACGAGGCCCGTCGGGTTGAAGGAGATTGGCGCCGTCGACGACCCGGGGCCAGCCCGCACCGGCGACTCGTGCGTGGCGAGTCGAGCCGCCTCCTCCTCGAGACCGCAGGGCCTCATCGCGGACCGCGGTCCCGCGACCCCCCTCGGCAAGCCGACGGGGGTCGCGCCGGCCAGGTGAGCGACCAAGGACAGCAGCCATAGCAGGAGGAGCGAGTTGCGTCCCATCTGCGACAACAACGACGGCAATAATATTAATAACGTTGGTTGGTTGTTAACGCGGCCACAGAGCTAGCGGCAGCATCCCAACGCACGGTGAGGTTGTTGGCGCGGAGGGGGTAAAAACCGGAGGGCACGGAGAAAAATCCACGCGGCCATGGGGAGAGAGAGAGACAGCGCAAACTCCAAATATACAGCAGCAGCAGGCGTCATCAAGGTCGGAATCGAACCCACGACCTCCTGTATACCAGGCGAGGTAGTTAACATCTCCTAGCCACCGTGATGATGAGAGAGAGAGACACCGCAAACTCCAAATATACAGCAGCAGCAGGCGTCATCAAGGTCGGAATCGAACCCACGACCTCCTGTATACCAGGCGAGGTAGTTAACATCTCCTAGCCACCGTGATGATGAGAGAGAGAGAGACACCGCAAACTCCAAATATACAGCAGCAGCAGGCGTCATCAAGGTCGGAATCGAACCCACGACCTCCTGTATACCAGGCGAGGTAGTTAACATCTCCTAGCCACCGTGATGATGAGAGAGAGAGAGAGAGAGACCGCAAACTCCAAATATACAGCAGCAGCAGGCGTCATCAAGGTCGGAATCGAACCCACCACCTCCTGTATACCATGCGAGGTAGTTAACATCTTTCCACACACTCGCTTGACCCCTACGTTATTGCATCAATGTGTTCCGACACGACCCTTTGAGGTGCGCATGCAAAAGTCAGCACTGCGAAGTATTTAACGAGGACAAAAAAAACCCCCTAACCTACACTTCCACTTGGCTCGCTTTCGGGATGATGGGGCACGATAAAAGTGGGACACGAGGCGACACTCAGTCGGAAATACGCAACACAAATCGCCCTTCACATCAGAAGGTCCATTGACAGAAACGTCGCCTATTATATAAACAAATATTATACAACGTGTGTGTGTGTGTGTGTATATACTATACGCACATATATAAAAGCCTAAACAAGTAATTTCCTGTTCAAGTGAATATTAATCAGGTAGGGGCGCCCAGCTCCGATGTTTCGCTCTGAGGCAGTGGTAAAAATTCCACATTTCTTTGGCGGGGGCGACTCTTCCTTGTCACAAAGTGGCAAGGAATACACAACAGGCTTCGTTCATTGCCCAACAAAGTCGCCAAAGACACGCACACAAAGGCAAAGGCCCCCCGTATAGGCTGTAACAGACTTGGGGGCCATGTGCTGTCAGCGAGCACCTATGAAGACCGGCACGGCACACGAGGGGGTGGGTGGCCAGCACAACGCCCGGCCGCCTTTGTCTCCCAAGCGGCGATGTTTAACACACCGCACCGTGTGCTCATTTGAGGCTGAGTCGACCTAGAGGAGGCCCAGAACCTGTTCAGATAATCGTCGCTGGTGTTGGCCGTGAGCGGGAATCGAACTCGGGACAACGGCTTCGTAGCGCAGTGTAGCGCTAACCGCTCCACCACCGCTCCACCACCGCTCCCCACGATACATTTTATATATATATACACGCGAACGGATGCGTATTTCTTCTTCGGGAGGACACGAGTTTTAGGGGCAGGGCGCGCGTTTTGAATCTCCGCCTCGAATGAGAGGGCAACTTTAGCCCGGCTGCACGAGCCGGGCTAAACGATTAAACACGAGTCATCTGCATTATGTATGTTTGTGCACGCTGAATTTCTTTCGCACCGTACTGTAAGCCAACCGCGCTATAAGCAGTGCCGAGGAGCATCGACATCGTCACCGTCGCAAAGATGTCATCGTCAAACGGGGCAAAACCCGTCCCTGGCGTTAAACAATGCGGACTTACCTTAAACCGTCACGATTAAAGTCAGCCGGCTGCTAAGCCTCCTCTCTCCCGATCACGCGGAGAGGTTAAAGTCTGAAATGTCGACTGCTTTGCTCGCCAGCCTCTTCAAGTCGGGTGATGACGATACCCATCTCCCCCTCCACCTTCCCATCCGTTCCTCCACCCCCTCTCCGCCCGTGTGTCCCTCTACTATTGGGTGCCGCGGTGGCTCGGAGATGTTAACTACTTCGCCTGGTATACAGGAGGTCGTGGGTTCGATCCTGACCCTGACGCCTGCTGCTCTATATTTGGAGTTTGCGTGTCTCTCTCTCTCTCATCATCATCACGGTTGTTAAGAGATGTTAACTACCTCGCCTGGTATACAGGAGGTCGTGGGTTCGATTCCGACCCTCACGACGCCTGCTGTATATTTGGAGTGTGCGTGTCTCTCTCTCTCATCATCATCATCATCACGGTTGTTAGGAGATGTTAACTACCTCGCCTGGTGTACAGGAGGTCGTGGGTTCGATTCCGACCCTGACGACTCCTGCTGTATATTTGGAGTTTGCGTCTCTCTCTCTCTATCATCATCACGGTGGTCGTGTGAATTTGTCTCTGGGTCCTTCGGTTTTTCGTTCCACATTTAAAAATCAACATCACGCGTTTTAGAGCATTTGGCAGCTATAAATTTCCGCATGATAAGCCACTTCGCCGTGCTATCATCTGTGTCCAGCTCGCTTCTGATCAACAGCTGTATAGCTCAGTGGGCCGGCCGTACCTGGGAAAATAAAAATAGTTTAAATAGTTGCATTGCTCATAGCCTGCTGAGTTCCACGCTGGAATGTTTACGATATGATTCATTTCGCTTCCGTTTCGTTCACTTTGCGCTCTGGCCATAGATGATAACCAATGTATTCTTGGTTCTTTCGGCGAAGTCACGTAGAAGGGAAACAATAAAATAATAAAAATATAAACAATTAAATTCTCACGCCGTTTCGACTGCAACACAAGCAATCATCATCATCATCACCTGATGATGATTGTTTTATATTTGTATTATTTTATTGTTTCCCTTCTACGTGTTGACTTTCCCGAAAGAACCAAGACTATGAATCCCTGCAGTCACGAAAGCTTTCAATCAAAAGATAACCAATGTGTTAAAGGCCACCACGCTTTGACACGTGCTGCTTCGGATAGCATTATCACGGGCGTATGCAGATGCCCGTAACATCAAGACACCGATAACTTTCATTGAGTCTACCCGTGTGTGCTGGTGTTGAAGAAGGGTCATTGCCCGAAACGTCGCCTGTTATGTATTACTGTGTTACGTTTTCTGAGAATGTTTTCTTTAAGGCCGCTTTGCTATCGGCGAATGGGTTCACAGTCTCCGTTTAAATGTGCTCGTCGTACCATAGCATGCGTCTGTGTGTATGTATGTTTGGAGTTCTTTCGCACCGTACGTATGCAACCGTGCGAATCGGAGGTGCGGCGTGTGTGGAAGTGCCAAAGCAAGTATCGCCACACACACACACACCAAAAAAACCCCAACAACCAACACGTGTGTGTGTGTGTGCGTGGTGCACATGGCCTGGCACAAGCGTCGTGGTGACGTCACCGCCACTTAGTGGCGAATGGCGGTTGTTGTTGTTTTTGTTGTGGTGTTGCGCATCAATGACATTCTGAAGCGTTGCACTTCACGGCAGACCACACAGAACTGTGGCAAACAAACACACAAAGAAAAAAATGTTTCACCAGTCAAAGATCCGTTTGTGACCTGGAGCATTCGTTTTGTTTAACATCGGTTGGGTTCAGCGTCGAGAAATCGGAGTCGACGAGTCTGAGGTCACCGCATTCGAGAGGTTTATTTATTTATTTAAAAAAAACCGTCCGTGTTCATTCTTCCTCTTTCGTGTGACGAACGAGCGAAGGAAACTAGAGGCGGTGCAATCGAACGCGTTAATGTTGTCAGCCAGTCCAGGGCAGCATTCGGGGGGGGAGGGGGGGGGGTAGTGGCTGAGTGGCGTGGTCGGCTCGTTCTACCAGAACACCACGTGGTTGTGGTGGGGTAGCTGAGTGGGGTAGTCTACTCGTTCTACCAGAACACCACGTGGTTGTAGTGGGGTAGCTGAGTGGAGTAGTCCACTCGTTCTACCAGAACACCACGTGGTTGTACTGGGGGTAGCTGAGTGGAGTAGTCCACTCGTTCTACCAGAACACCACGTGGTTGTAGTGGGGTAGCTGAGTGGAGTAGTCCACTCGTTCTACCAGAACACCACGTGGTTGTAGTGGGGTAGCTGAGTGGAGTAGTCTGCTGGTTCTACCAGAACACCACGTGGTTGTGGTGGGGTAGCTGAGTGGAGTGGTCGGCTCGTTCTACCAGAACACCACGTGGTTGTGGTGGGGTAGCTGAGTGGAGTAGTCCACTCGTTCTACCAGAACACCACGTGGTTGTAGTGGGGTAGCTGAGTGGAGTAGTCCGCTCGTTCTACCAGAACACCACGTGGTTGTATTGGGGTAGCTGAGTGGAGTAGTCCGCTCGTTCTACCAGAACACCACGTGGTTGTATTGGGGTAGCTGAGTGGAGTAGTCCACTCGTTCTACCAGAACACCACGTGGTTGTATTGGGGTAGCTGAGTGGAGTAGTCCGCTGGTTCTACCAGAACACCACGTGGTTGTATTGGGGTAGCTGAGTGGAGTAGTCCACTCGTTCCACCAGAACACCACGTGGTTGTATTGGGGTAGCTGAGTGGAGTAGTCCGCTGGTTCTACCAGAACACCACGTGGTTGTAGTGGGGTAGCTGAGTGGGGTAGTCCGCTCGTTCTACCAGAACACCACGTGGTTGTAGTGGGGTAGCTGAGTGGAGTAGTCCACTCGTTCTACCAGAACACCACGTGGTTGAATTGGGGTAACTGAGTGGAGTAATCCGCTGGTTCTACCAGAACACCACGTGGTTGTGGTGGGGTAGCTGAGTGGAGTAGTCCGCTTGTTCTACCATAACACCACGTGGTTGTGGTGGGGTAGCTGAGTGGAGTAGTCCGCTGGTTCTACCAGAACACAGCATGGCTGTATTTTGTCCATGGGCCCAGACCAAAAAGAATATTGTATTGGTACCATCTGAGGTGGCAAAGCCTAGTAATGATTGTGGTAACCCCCCAGTGTGTGTGGGACATGATAACCTTTGCGGAGTGGCAGCTTAGTTGTAGTTTCCGTGACTTTAATAC